TTATCGTGGCCAAGACTGCTGCAGACCCGAGGCCATCAAACAAGTGGATAACTTAGCCATTCCAGACGGTCAGTTTTGCAACAATACCCTCTATAGATCGGACTATCGTGGCCAGGACTGTTGCAGACCCGAAGCCATCAAGCAACCGGACAATTTGACAATTCCTGATGGACCTTTCTGCAATTCTACGATTTATCGTGCTGACTATGGGGCCATTGATTGCACCCCACGGCTTGTGAGGCGGCTCAAAAGAGGAGGTGCATGCCGTTCTGGAGCTTGTGGGAAATCTCTTAGCATCCCAATGATTCCAAATTGCTGCAACTCCAATTCTTCGACTTCCTGTCCCAAAGCTGATGCTACCAAAGCAAAGGAGTAAAGAGGCCATAACTTCACTTCATCCAAACAAAGCATTTCTTTTTATTTGAGTGATTTTATTTCGAATCTTATTCACTTTTTCTCCTACAATATGACTGAATTTTGAAAGGAAACTCGCTCTTCTTCACGCTGGTTCCTACGGTACTGTACATGTTATGCATTGTTTGCAACATTCAGCCATTCACCAAACAGCTTATCCTCGGTTGAATTTTCGACGGAAGTCATCACACGGAGGCATTAAAAGCCAGTATTTGGTTGAATCCTACAGTTGCACATTAGCAGTTTTCGCGCACCTCCCGAATGAACATTTTGGTAAATCTCTTGTGTGATCAATGAAATACACTTGACTTCACTCGTACGCGATTTTTGCTTACCAACGTCTTGAAATGCTGAATCCACAAACGGGGTTAAATGCACATCTTTTTAAACTTTGCCAACCCTTTTTCATAACTGAACAAGGGAATTCATGAATCAACTTTTTTTTTTTGGCATTAGCAGGAAAGAAAAAGTGGCCTAAATCTAATCGATCAGTGATCAATTGCGCGTGGAACGTATAGAGGAGCAAACTACTTTTATGATAATCAGTAGCAAACATGAAGTACATTCACCAAAATAGGTGGGGGAAAGTCGACAATCTGAGAATGTTGAAGTAGTAAACACAAACAGACCAGGGCTTCAAGTCTTCGCCAAGGTCGTACTAAGCCGAGGCAGCATGACACATATAATGGCCGGAAGGTTAGTAGCATGGTCTGTAGTTAAATATGTAGTTAAGCACAATATTGAGATACCGCCGTTTATTCGCGTTTTGTTCAGCAAATTACTCATATGTAGGGCGGCAAACTATCATGTATGAACCGCTGGATTAAATAGCCCAAGATCTTGCGGATCGGAATGTGCTCACCAACCCACATGGATACTCGAAAATATCGTGGCGGTCTTGATAGATATTTGTTGCCCGGTTTGCCGCCTGTTTAAGGATGGTAACATGGGTAGCCATCAATATTAGTATGTTAGCAACATTTTCGAAGGTAAATTTTGGGTTCAACCAAAGTATTAATTTTATATTTATTGCAGAACATAAATGCGTAACTTCAGGTTGCCTTCGGTAAATCACGCTACGCTACTCAGGGGACATTGTAAAACAAATAACATCTATTCCATCCACATGCGTTGTTTAAGGTTAGTTAACTTGGAATAAAAAATGTAATGTAAAGAGAGTTTTGTGACTTACTCGGTTTTCAATAAATGAAGGCTAATGTCACCAACAAAACTCATGAATGGAAGCAACTCGGATAAAAGATTAAAAAAGAGTATAAACTAAAATAAAGGCAGACTTGCCTCTTTTGGTCTAAGCAAAAAAGATTTACCAGGAAAAGAGGAGGAGTAAAAGCATAAAATACTTTTTATTCCAGATAAGTTGATAGGTGAATCTGCTTTTTTTTCCCATCCCATTTTAAAATATGGCTAATTGCAGTAAGCGCATTAGTGGATGCGAAATCCTCGTAAGAGGTAAATAACTCAATCTTGATTAAAACCAATTTTCTTGTGCTATATTCTTTTTTATTTTTTACAGAAAACAGAATCAAGCTGGAGTAAATTTTTTCTTAATTAATAAGCAAATTAGTTAGCTGAAGAATGTAGGCACATTTGGAACCCCTGGTCTATTAAGTTTGGGATTGAATTAGGTCGTAATTTTGATAGCAACGGATTTACACTTTGAAATACCAATATTAGGGGTGCAAGCGTCAGGTTAAACTGTCATCTATCACCACAGAACGCTAGACTATTTAAGTAATTGAGACGAGGACACACGCATACGCACGCACCCATGCATGCACCACTGCAAAGAGAAACTTAAATCCAGTAGAGTTGCATGCCTACACTGTTCTTCCGTTTTAAGGTCAGACCAATAGCGGCTTAAAACCCAGTTAAGTACCTAGCTAGTTAGAAAACGAGAGAGTGAAGTTGCACACGTTCATTCAGTCGCTCAGGCCAGTTCCACATCAGCCATCTGGCGTCCCATCATGACAGTACAGTACAACCAGGATGTTCTTACCGGAGGTCCAGTGGTATTTTTGCGTCTACTTCTAAGGTATCCCTTCTAATTTCCTCTTATCCCTTCATAATTTGATTGAAAAATCTAATCACGTTGTAGATGCAGCTTAATTATAATGATATTTTATCTCAAATTACTCTAATATTGGTAGTGATGCACTAAATTGCAAATGGTCATCGCGACTCAGAGAAACTAACTCTACTAGATACGTTATTTGACTGACTCATGTTTGAGTGACTGACAAGAGGAGAAGACGGGAGATAATACACCTCACTTTATCTAACAAGCGGCGTTATTAGCAACCTTTGTGTATTCCAACAGATTATTACACTGTCTTGATTAAAAAATATTTTATGCATAACTAACAAATTTTAGAAATGAATTATGACTAGAGTCAAGAGGTTTTAGGACTTAGCAACCCTCTCATCAATGTGTTAGCGAGAAGTGGATAATCACAGTGCAAAGACTCTTCGTGCATCTTCTAGTGCAGCCATCTTAAACAATCCATTTACGCTGCGATTTCATAAAACTCGATATTGTAAACTGGAAGAAAACTCAAGTCCCAAATTCGGGGCACCGTTAGAAAACGTGATAATCACAATTTATTATTATTATATTCTGTCCCCTTGATAGATGGAAAGGCTGTGTAATCAAACTAATCTACATTGACTTCATCGTCTTTATCCTCGCCTATGCAGTCGTTAGTTGTATCTACCGTTTTGCTCTAACGGCAAGTCAACAGAAGCAATTCGAAAGTGTGGTGCTGTATGTCTTCGACTTTCAACAGATGATCCCAATCTCCTTCATTCTTGGTTTCTACGTTCAATTGGTGTTTTCTCGCTTTTGGCAACAATTCAATTCTGTGCCATGGGTCTTCACTCCAACCCTGGCAGTGATTGGGGCCATTCAAGGTGAGGGAAGAGCCAGGGCAATTAGGCGAACGTGTGTACGTTACATGAATGCCAGTCTCATTATTGCTTCGTCCAGACTTCATGTGGCTGCTAAGAAACGATTTCCTACTACGCAACACCTCGTTCAAGCTGGTAAGTTCCGTCACATTTTAGTGCTTTTCTAATGAGGTTAAACCACGGTTTAATGGCTCTTTCCATAATCATGAGTAGAGTGGACGCAAGATCAAGTACTCATCCATGAACTTACCTATTGTGCCTACATGCATTCAGTAATATGCGGAGGGGCAACTGACGCCAAATAACAAATGAAAGGTTATTCATTTAAAAAGCTTACAATAAACAAATAAGAGAGATTTAAACGGCATGTTAGACGTCCACAGTAAGGAAAAGTCGAGGTAAACAGTGATACTTTATGCAGATAGCAATGCCGGGTTTCATGATAGAGAAATGAGATTCTAATGATTTAGGTGGATATATGATGGACTCTTCCAATGTGTTACTGCACATTACCTTTTAGTTTATTTTGTTTAATTGTTAGCAAAAAAGACGTAAAAATTATCAGAAAGTCTATTTAACCAATCAATATGAGCGATATTTTTAGAAGAAAGTTGAGTTATTAGTCTGTTTTAATTTAACTGCTCCCCTGTGTGAATCAGCTAAAAAAATTGAAGAAAATAAAGAAAATATGCACCACAAATATGGAATTTATCCCCTTTCTAAATTTATCTGACGCTAAGCTATTAAAGAGCAATGTTCCACTGAAAAAATTTAAAGACATTTTATCCCC